TTACTCATTCCAGAAGAATTAAGCTGCTGCTTAGAAGGGACAAGAATACAAATGCAAAAATTAGAGGCTTATTAGATCAGGGGTCCTCAACCTTGGCAACTTTAAGACTTGTGGACAAGTCCGCAAGTCTTAAAATTGCCAAAGTTGAGGATCCCTGTATTAGATAATTCAATGTAGGATTACCAGAGCAGGGTGCAGACATCTGGATCACCATCAAATGGCAGCAAAGCATTGGTTTTCTGTATCTGTTTCTGCCCTCTAGTGGTCTTTGAGAGTTTTCTAACAGATCCAGCAGCCCTAATGAAGAGCAATATCATTTGTTTATTTAGGCTTATTTATTTATCAAATTCATACAGTGTTCTCATAAGTTAAATTTAATAATAAATTTAAATTTGGCATATGTTAGAAAACAACCGGATGCAGAAGTTTTTGTTTTCAGGCATTTCAGTATGCAGGGGTTGGAAGTGATATCAAATATTCAGTGATGGATTTTGAAAGGGGATTCATCCCCTTCCCTCAAAAAGTAAACCCGATTCTGCTCTGTTCTGTCCTCCAGGAATGTTCTGCTCATGCTATTTGGTACTAGCTACCCACTTTCATCACCTTCGCTCCTGCCAAAAGAGAAAAGATTATATATCATCCCTGGTCTTGTCAGAAGGTCACAAAAGGAGATCACATGAATTTAGGACACTGCAATCATCATAAATAGGAGTCAGTTATCAAGCGGCTGAATTTTGATCACGTGACTATGGGGATGCTGCAATGATCATTAAGTGCGAAGAACGTAATTCACTTTTTTTCCAGTGCCATGGCAACTTGGAATGGTCACTAAATGAACTGTTGTAAGTAAGGGACTACTTGTAGATTTTTAACTATCTTTCCCTGTACTCATTCTTTCAGAGCAGTCCAATTCTGTATTTTTTTATTTGTTTGTTCCCTTTTTAAAAAATTTTACCTCAGGTTTCACTTTGTTATTGTTGTGTGTCTTCAGTGTTTTTTTTTCCTATGGATTCTATGCCCAGACAATTTTTATACAGTTTCCTGTAAGTAATAAATAAATAAATTATTTTGAGTAAACATGGATGGCTTTCTTGAGAAGGATGAAAAAAAGAGAAAGCAAAAGCAGCTCTGGTCAGGAAAGACTGACCAGGGAGGAGAAAAACAGAGGGGATGTGCTAATCTGTTAGGGCATGGCTGTCAAACTCGATCCCGTCATGTGACGTATCGTGATATATCGTGACTTTTTTGCCTTTGCAGAGCCGGGGTGGGCGTGGCCTACAGGTGACGCATCTGGCCCATGGGTTGCCAGTTTGACATCCCTGTGTTAGGGCCTTGTTGCTCTGGATCTTAAGTCCCTCTGAAGCATTATGCAATTTTGTGTCTTGAGTGGATTTTGTGTTAAATTCAAGCAGGAAAGCTGCAGATAGGAAAAAAGTTACACGGACACATCTCTCCTGCCCTATACATTGCTTTCCTGGTGCCAATAGCCATTGGAACAATTAAATCCTTGCAAATGGAAAACAGCCTAATTAACAGTGTCTTCTGATATCTGTCTTTTCATTCCAATAGCTTGGTGCTTTGTAGGTGAAGAAGATGCCGGTACTCTCCTGTGCTTAGAGGTTCCAGTGCATGGTGTCAGAGAATCTCCTGTGTTTCTCCACCATCCTTGGGATAATGTCACTATCAACATATTGTACATTGCAACATATAGTCCTTGACTTACAACAGTTCGTTTAGTGACCACAGCACTGAAATGCCATATGTCCATTTTTCGCACCTACATTGCAGCATCCCCATGGTCACGTGATCAAAATTCAGACGTTTGGCAACTGACTCATATTTATGACGGTTGCAGTATCCCATGATCAGGTGATCAACTTTTGTAACCTTGAGACAAGTAAAGTCAATGGGGAAGCCAGATTCACTTAACAACTGTTTTACTAATTTAACAACTGAAATGATTAAGAACTATGGCAAGAAAGGTCGTAAAATGAGGCAAAACTCACTTAATAACTCACTTAGCAACAGAAATTCTGGTCTCGGTTGTGGTCGTAAGTCGAGGACTAACCTGTATTGACAGAGAAGGGAACTGAACGTTGCATGGAGCGGGAGAGGTTTCCAACAAATCAGCTTTGTTTCTGAAGATGGCGGAGCAAGAGAGGAAGGGTATTTAAAATTGATCTCTGGTTAGCTAGGATTAAATGTGGTTTGGGAATCACAGTGATTTAAAAATAAAGATTTATAGCTTATTGTAATAAAAGTTGTAATCAGCTGTGGTTAAAAAAAATCATGAATTAGAATAATATAAGAATCTAGCCATCGAGGTCATCACAGACTTGTTTTTTACTGAAATCTAAGCTTGTGATTAAAAAATGACCTTCAGACAGTATTTTAGAGGTTATTGAACTGCAATGAATTGGGAGCCATGTGCCCAATCAATGGCTGTCTATTTGGTTACATTCAGTCAGAGTTCTCAAGATGAACTCATCTGTTCACTTGGTTTCCTCCATGTGTTAATTTTGGCACATCTTGTTTTTCCCCACCACCACCTTTTTCCCCCTTTCCTGCCATCACATCATCAATTCAGCTGACGCTGAGTGAGAGAGATGTTGATAGCAACTGAAACCTTTCTCCTCCTTAGTAATGATGTCAAGAACAAGATTTATGTCACCAGATCCCCTATTTAAAGGTCATAGGAGGGCATCCCACTCCTAAATTCTTATTAAGTGTAAAAAATAGCAGCCCTACTCCTGGAAAAAAAGTACTTGAAGCAATGTCTACAAAGCAATTGCTTAGGAAGCAGAAATTACATGGATATCTTTACAAAGAGGAGTTTTCTATATAACAGAATTCAGTGCACAAGTCTTTAAAGGTTAATTTAGCACAGAATATTGGTGTCTTCAAGTTATCCTTATTCACACTGTGCACAAGACCTTCCATTAGTGATAGAATGAGATGCGGTGGAATTTTCTGAGTACAGGTAGTCGTTGACTTACGACAGGGGTCTTCAAACTTGGCCCTTTTATGACTTGTAGACTTCAACTCCCAGAATTCCTTAGCCAGCATGCCTGGCTGAGGAATTCTGGGAGTTGAAGTCCACAAGTCATAAAAGGGCCAGGTTTGAAGACCCTGACTTACAACCACAACTTCTGTTGCTAAGTGATGCGGTTAAGTAAGTGGCACCTAATTTTATGTCCTTTTTTGTCACAGTCATTAAGTGAGTCACATGGGGCATTGAGTAAATCATGCATTTGTTAAACAAATCCAGCTTTTCCCATTGACTTTGATTATCTGAATTCAGCTGGGAAGGTCGCACATGGTGATCATATGACCCGGGGATGCTGCAACAATCATCAAAACATGCCAAGTGCCCAAATTTTGATCACATGACTAAGGGGACCCTGCAAGGGTTATGAATGCAAGGACCAATCGTAAGTCACTTTTTTCAGTACCATTGTAACTTCAGAATAGTCACTAAAAATGGTTGCCAGTCAAAAAATACCTGTATTATGCAACACCACAATGTCACAATAAGAGATTGTATTTTATTTTACTCAAGTGGAAATAATTTCAATATAGTAATTTATTTTGTAACCAGGCATTAAACCTAGGAAGTAAGCAGCTAACTTTAACAGCAAAGTTTCCATCCCACTCTTCCAGGTTCAGTTATCTGATTGGAAGAATAACAAATTCAAATCATTTTACAGTTCTTTCAGAACTGACAGTCTTTTAAAAACTTCATTCTGATGTACCAAATAAATATATAAAAAGAAAATACACTGTGAACAGTTCTTACTAAAACATTCTTCTGCTAGTTTTATATTTGCCTTTTCCAGCAAGTGCTGAATGTATCCTCAGAATGTGTCTTCAGGTTCACCTCAGTAACCCTACGAGTTAGGGTGGGCTGAGAAACTGACCAGCCTATAATCAGTCAGTGGCTGAAGGTGAATTTGAATCAGACTTCTAGCTTAATCATACAAAAGCAAGAGAGAGCTGAACTGGTTTATAAAAGTATGAGTTACATAAATCTAGAAAACAGGATTAATTAAACACAAGCAATATTAATATTAGAAGGCCAGCAGCCACATTATTAAGCCTGTAACCTGGCCATAAAATCCAAAAGGCTATATCGTATATATTTTAAAATAAATGTTCTTTTCTTTAAAAACACCAGAATTTAATAAAGTTTGGGGAAAAAACACCCATAGAAATAAAACAAATAGAAAATAGAAATGTTAAATAGCAAACGAACAATTCAATCCAATTATCTATACTACTCCCCCTAAAAAACCCTTATGTGGAAACTTACATTATATTTATGAAAGGAAAATAGAAAAAATAAAGAACAAAACAAAAACAAAATGAAGTAACAAAACTGTAGACTAATTTTTTTTTCAAATAAACACACTAAAGTTTGGAATTGCTTTTTGGATGGAGTGACAACATGCAGTACTCATAGACCATATTATTTTGTATTATATTAATCTACAATGTCAATCTAATTGATTCTGAATCTTTTCTTAAATTAAAACATCTCTATAAGAAAGCATTTTGACAGTTAAACGAAGGTCATTTTAAATTTTAGAAACTAGTTTAGATCAGGTTTCCAGAATTGAGGGCCCTATTAATTAAGTAAAATCATTCAATCAAATTATTCAGCTAATCAACTTTGCCTTCTTAGAGTGCCAGCACTGCTATATCCAGTTAAACATTACTGTATGGGATTTGCTTGTTTCTGGTTTAGTTTGTTGTATGAACTCGGCTATTTTGATATGAAGCCATGGCTATTGATATGAAGCCTATTCAAAGTGTTGTATGATCCCACCACTGTGGTGTATTCAACAAACCATGGATTAAACATGCCATAGTTTAACACAATGTATAAATTTAATCAGCAATGTTTTGCAAAAGTATGACTGATACTGTTCCTGACTATCCTCTCCACTATCACCACCACCACCACCACCACCACCACCACCACCACCACCATCATCATCATGTCTGTTTTAGGGTCCTTCACTCCCTTCCTGGCTCCCAATACTAAGGATATAGTGCTTGGGGCTGGAGGAGGAATAAGACCAGCTGTAAAAGATCAAAAGAAGCTCTCAGTTCACCCATAGGGGGTGGGAGATCAAAAAAGTAAAAATTATGGCAGTTAAAAATCCAGTCCCTTTTTATGTCCATTGTAGATGTCCCTGCTCTCAGCTCTCCATTGATCATGCACCATCAAGTTGATGTTGACCCTTAAGCGACCATGTTGATCCATTTTCCAGCTCTCCATGGGCAACTAGCTTTTATCTCATTAGGTAACAAAAGGTCTGCAAGCTCAGAGAGCACCAACATATAGCTAGTTTTCTCCAATGTTTCCCTGAGTTGTTCAGGCTGCTCCTTAAAATCTCTCCTGTCCGTGTTTTATGTTGTCTTTTCTATAGCAAGACCAAACTGCCACTCGGGGCAAGGAATATTGCCTCTTCTCCATATTTGTTGAGTGCACTGTTACAATAGCATCAAGTACCTGATTAGCATACACGGAATGCCTGGCTGAAATGTGAATGGTGGCTACTTTGTGGTTCAGTATATTGTGCAAACCTTATATAATTAGTACCTGATTTTTTTTGTGTCATACTCCAGTATGAATAAATATAACCCTGGGCAGTAAAGCTTTATTATATAAATGCATAATTGACTATATATTGACTATGCATATTTATTCTAAAATAAAACTTCTGAATCACTTTTAGAATGAGTTAATGTGACACAGATGTAAGATGGCTGTGGTAAACCCAAACAAATCAAACTACAGTACTGCAGGTCAATAGGTTGTGTAAATCCAACAATTGTGGTTTATGACCCTTGTTGATGGTTAGCAGATCTTGTGAAAGCAGCCGCCTAATCAAACCAGGACAGCTTAGGTGGTTTTCTGAACTCAGCTACTGGATCGCTTTGATAGACCCGACTCCAGCAACGAAGTCCAACTTCTCATCATCGGAAGGATTTTCTCAATGATTGCAATGATTATTTGACACCTGCCCCCAAGGCCTATAGAATCGGGAGGTCGGGGTTGGGTGGGAGCAAAGGGGTTGTCAGGTGTACTGCTGTCCACGATCAAGAGGTGAGTCGCGCAAGAAAGGGCGCAAAGACGAGCACAGCTGTCCCCGGGAGTCACCCGTGCTCGGAGAAAAAGGGGCGAAACCGGCAGAAGGGAAGAAGCGCTAAAAACTGGCGCCGATCCAAAGGTGCTTTCCCATAAACCACATGCTTCGGCGCAGCTCTTTATAAGCACGACCTCCAGGCAGCCAGCAGTCGGGAGGCCGTCTTTCTTGAGGATTGTTGTTTCGGAGTGGAAGTGCCAGCCCCTCTCGCCAGCCGCCTACCAACGGGAGCGGGACTAATTGCAAGAAAAAGGCGCGCCCTCTGGCCCTCGCGAAAGCCGGACTTGAAGCCCCCACCGAGCCTTTGCAGTGCAGCCCCCGGGATAGTAAGCGCGCGCGCGGCGAAGGTAGGAGCCCTTCGGGGGTGGCGTTGTTTAAACGGGACCGAGGCTGGCGGCCAAATGCTTTTCTCCTCCGGTTGGTAGACTATCGGAATAGTATTGCTTCAAGCAGTTGCGCGAAGCACCCAATTCCTCTGCAGCCGTCCCAGGCGCTCACGGCTTCGGCCCAGTTGCTCTGCCCGTTGGCTCGTTTTTGTCTTGGGCGGCTGCGGGGACCTTAAAATCTCTGAGGAGCATTCCGATTAGGAGTTATTGCCGAGTAAGAATGAAAAAACGAACCGCCGTTGCAAACGTAGGCTTATCCCGTCACTGTTGAGGCGGGCAGGGCAGGATTGTCTTGTTGCCCCCTTGACTTCCTCCTCCTTTGGGGCATTTACTGATCTTTGCTTGTAGCTGGCTCCAGGCTCTTCCCCCCCCCCCCCCGCTTCGTTGCGCTCACCCTCATCCTTCACGCCCTCTCCTGTCAAGTTGCACAAAGCTGGTCAGAAGCTTTGAAGCTCTTCTTGAGGAACTGCTCCTCCGGCTCCAGCTGGCTAATGTTTGTTTGGAACGAAGGCACAAAGGACATTTTCGAATAAACATTCATTGTGGTCCTGAATAATTTGCTGTTTTCTTTTGAAATCAACTGTACTATAATGCACTCCCATAGCTTTATTAGTGCTACCAGCATGTAGCCAACTGAAACTAAAGCTTAAATACTGGTTGCAGAGTGGATCTGTTTGCATAGCCTCAGATAAAGGACTTGTCAAATTTTGGGATAAAGTTTTCTCCTGGTATGGAAGTTTTAGAGCACCGTAGGATTTTTTCTGTTGTACAGTACTCAAGTATATATACCATCTAATTTGTATTTAAAAACTTGAAACTTTTCTTCCTGTATAGTCTTTCTGATTTCTCAGAGCTTAATTTGAACCTGTTTTTGACTAGGTTTTGCTCTGAGTCACAAAATAAAATGGAGCATACTGAAAAAGAAACCATGGTTAACAATACAAAGTTGCCAAGCCTCTATAATGCAGTTATTCTGAATGGGTTCCATCAAAGTAAGCCAATAGTGCATGGCAGGTTGGAAGTTAATAAGCTCTCCGACAACACGTGGTTAATAATTTTGTGCATCCTCAGATATGTTGAGTAAGAGTGTGGGAAGCGAAATTTGTAGGCCTGACTTTGCATACTATACTTAACACTTCAGTTGTCTTAACTACTTCAGTTGTGTGAATGCAACTGTTCTGGTTTATGGCTTAACCGGAATTGGCTACATTCACCAACATGTTCTGCCACAATTAAGTAAAATATGATTTAGTGATGTAGTTTTAATACCTTCTGGTTAAACAGTGCTCCTAGACCTTTATTCCCAATTTGAAAGTGGTTTGCCACTGCCTTCTCCCTAGGGCTGAAAGAGAGTGACTCACCCAAAGTCATCCCAGAATTTTTGCCCCAGTGCAGAATTAGAATTCACACTGGTTCCTAGCCTGGTGCCATTAACCACTGTACTTGGCCAGCTCTTGCTTACAGGCAGTTAAGCTAAACAAAAAGGCTTGAAAGAGTTCTGTTAATGTTAAGATCCTATAAATCTATTTAATTTTCAAGCTGAACATACAGTATTAGAGATCTCCCAGGGTTTTCTAAGTGGACATAGTAATCACAAAGCATGATTCAAAATCTTTTCCAAATCTTTCCTCCCTTTTTTTTTTTTCTCTCCTGTCCTCCTTCTCTTTGGACTCTTGCTAAGTTCAGTGAAGAAATGATTGGAAGCCTTTGGGAAGATTCCCCAAGATCATAGGACAATACCTTTGGAATGCCACTGCATAAAATAACCCCTATATTGTTCTGGAGAAACAGGACTTTTCTTGCGGACAGCAAGGTGCCAAGGATAATGGGAAGGAGCATGCAGTGACGTCAGCCCAGTGAAGAAGAGAGCTGTATGTAGGATCCAAAAGTGAAGAAGTTATGAAAACCAACAAGAGAGAACAGCTGGAAGATGTATTTGAGCCTTCTTAGCCTTGTCTAACATTGGGATGACAGGAATTGTGCTCCAGTGTATTTGGAAGGACCAAACTAAATAAGTGGCTGAAGTTGCAGAAAAGCAACTATTCTTTTCCATAGTTGTTGCCTAAACTTGAAAGTTGATATGAAGCATGATAGAGAGGCCACTGCCAGGTTTATTGCTAGGCAGATAAATACTTTTAGTGACCTAAGAAAAGGGTTAGCATAGGGCCTATCAGATGGCACTAATGAAAAAAGCACATACACCTCTCCCAATCTTTATGCCCTCTAGTAGCTGCCCATATTTTTTGTAGTCTGGTTATAGAAGCCCAAATAACTGGTCTTGATCTCTGAGGAATAGAGTAACTTTTGTTCTGGAGCATTTTCCTCTGTTATTCCTAGTATTTATAGATACATGATAGATTTATAGATTGGAAGTCCTCTGCAGAAGGGTCAAACAATTTTTTATATCCTCAGTTGCTAATATATATTAATTAAAGTATCTGAGGACGTTTTTAAAAAAGGCTCAAATGTCCTGCAGAGGATTGCCAATCATCTAGTGCAAGTGAACTTTCTGAAGATGATAGTGGCTATCTCGGATCATTGCTTTCATTGCCTTAAGTGGCACAGAGAGGTTAGTTCTCAACATCTAGGCTGGCTCCTGTGGGAGAAAGCTGTGGTTTGTAAATCCAGCTTTTTCAAGTAAGTTCCTGGAGCTGCCTTGTCTGTTGGTGGTTGCTGCAACTTGGTGGTCTTATAACTTTTAATTCTTAGCCTTCTTTTTTCCACTCTGCTGTTCTATGGATTTGCCCTCTATCTGGAACCATTTCATATCCTGCTAAGACTGTAACATCTGAGGCTTTTCATGTTTTGGATCACAATGCTTTGGGAAGCAACAAAAGATAAATACTCATTTTTAGCATCTGAAGTTTGTTTTGAAACAACAGCAGTTTCAGAAGATACTGAAGGGGAAATTCCAAATTGATCTGTGGGACTTGAGCAATTTCCTTGGAAAATAAAAGTTAGGGGATTGGAAAGATATGGAGAAGAAGCAGGAACGGGGTGACTTTGGGACAGTCACATTCTCTCAGCCCCTCCCACTTCACATGGTTGTTGTTTTGGGAAAAAATAGGAGGAAGTAGACGTGTTGGATATGTTTGCAGTCTTGAAAAAAGAATAAAGGCAGAATACAAATAAATACCTTGAATGTTTGTGACTTAAAGGGTTAATTCTGTCTGGCTGGGCTAAAACATGTTTGCTTGCTTGTAATATTTGAATGATTTCTTGTTAAGGATTTGTTTAGTTCTTAGTGTTTACATATTGATTGCATTTAATTTTTTTATGATTTGGTAGTATTTTTGTTCGCTGTTTGCAGCCATTATTTATTATTAATTATATTTTAATCCCACTTTTAAATGTAATTCAAAGCAGCAAACATGCTTAATATTCCTGCCTCTTAACGTTCCCCACAACAACCTGGTGAGGTGAGTTGAGCTGAGAGAGTGACTAGCCCAGGGGTCTTCAAACTTGGCCGTTTTATGATTTGTGGACTTCAACTCCCAGAATTCCTCAGCCAGCATGCCTGGCTGAGGAATTCTGGGAGTTGAAGTCCACTAGTCATAAAAGAGCCAAGTTTGAACTAGACGAGCTGAAAGTTGCTCATCCACCTTTCAGGCCTAAAGCAGGCCTAGAACTCCCAGTCTCCTGGTTTCTATATATACGCTTTCACCACTGCATATATACAGTATATTTTCTAAATAAATAAATGTGGCACAGAGCAGGGCAGCAATAGACATATAAAAACTGAACTTAGGGAAATTGAGCTGAGAGCTGCAATACTTCATTATGTTGGAGCAAGTATTTTCATCTGCACAAGGAAGGGAAAAACCAGCTTTGTCACAGAACAGCAGGCAATGTGCAATCCATCTGAGCTGTAACAATGGGGGAAATTCCCAGCTTGGCTACTTGTCTGACCTCTTCTTTTCCTAATAAGAACACAAGAATGGAGGTGGAGGGAGAAAGGAATGCTTGCAAACCAGAGTTTAACTCTTCAGAACTTCCTGAAAAAGGTTCCTGGATTGTTCTATCAAATGCACTTTAAAGCACCCTTGGGAAACTCATGCCTTAGCAGCAGTGCTGCCGGGCTTTGCTCAATAGATGTGGCGGGCTTCAGAAATAGATATAGTCCAGAGATTTCTGCACTCACGGATGCCAGCAGGATGGAAAAGAGTTATTGTTGGAGCCGTGCCCGATATGTGGTAATTTGATATGGTCCGTTCCAAGCACAAATTGGTCTGAAGCAAAAGCCCGGTGGGAAAGTACAAATAGTAGAAGGAAATATTACTGCCATAGTTTAGCACTGACTTAAAAAAAAAAAAAAGCTACACTTTTTTTATTTTTTTACTAAACCTCTGTGCAGTAATGGATGGTAATTCTGAAGACAGTACCACAGTCTTTGCTAGTCAGATGTTGTAGCAAAGGGCAATGGGAGAAGAGAGAATGATTTCCCAGCAGTTGTGGTTTGGAAGGAAGATGTGTGGCAAACCACGGCAGGGGAGAAACAAGTGAGGAGTCTTCTAAATAAGCTGAGGAAATTCCATGGCTACTTGTTTAAGAAAAGAAAGTGAGGGAAGGCACAGCACCACATTAGCCAGACATGGATGAGTTTAGAACATTTATTTTTGAAGTATAATGTTGATTTGCATTAGAAAGGAAAAATAATGAAATTTAAAGGCTTGCTAGGGACAGCCCTATTATAGGAGCAGAAAATACAAGGCTCTAATATGAGACTTTTTCATCCACAGCCCAGGAAAACATGGTTGCCTATGTGCAATTAGCTTTGTTTCTTCTTGTAACCTGCGGTATCCATGAAACTGAACAGAATCATTTTGGTTGCCACCGGCTCATCATGGCATCCCACCTTAAGAACCTGACTGACCTGGTGAGTTTATAAATTATATAGTAAGAATGTGATATTAAAAGAATAACGATGTTAACAAGTAACATTATATGGACCAGATACCTGTGCTGATGGTAGCTTGGTAGTAGATTTTCAGCTAGATTTTCAGGCTGGGTCTGTATTAAATAAAGTTATAGTAGTACCTAATTTCCAATGTTTTATGTTGTTCCCAGTCCCTCTAATATTAGGTTCAGAAAGAAAGTGATTCTTTTGTACGTATGTGGTACCAGACAGCAAGAAAGCAGAGTGGCCTCTGAAATTATCTTGGCACTTTTCTCACGTTTGCAAATGCTGGGCCATTCTCAACACAATAAACCTGTAAAGTAGTTTTGCATTATATCCCTAGTGCCAATGTAGATTCTGACTGAGAGCAACTTGCTAGAGATTCCTACAGAGGTTGGCTGGGGTCTTCCTAATTTGTAGCTCAGTTTCTTTGATTGGTGTACCAAGAGCATTGGAAGAATAAATATGCAAACCAAGAGGGGGGGGGGGAAAGCAGGGTTTGTGCATAAATAAAAGTTACTTAAAATTCTGCCCAAATAATTGGTTATATTACACACATAACTTTTGATTTGTTTAAGATCTCTGTTGGCAAATTATAGAAGGGATGGAAAACTATGAAAAAGAAAGGTAAAGTTTCCAAGATGTGTATGACCCCTGGTATTTTTGTGATCACTCATCCTAATAACAAATTCCAAGATCAGTTGGGCACTGCTGCCTACATGGCACACTAAAGTCAAGTTGTTGGCAGTTTATTTTACTTCCATTTAGTTTATTTTGTGGTTTATGTCACTTTAGCAATATTACCCATTATCTTTTCTGTGCCGCAAGAAAATGAAATTGCCAAATATATACTGTTGTAATAAGAGCTGTATGAAGTTCCTACATCCCTGTCTTTGGTTTCCTGCTGTTTAAAACCACTTTGGAATGGTCTGATCATTTGGCTATTTCCAGGACTGAAGTTTAGTCCAATTTGCTATCTTTTCATTGACATGCCATAATAATTTATTTTATGAATTACTTATATGGCCGCCCAAGCCACCTACAGTGACTTCAGATGGCTTATGGCATTAAAAATTCAGGACATAAAACCCAGCCACCAGACAAGCTGAGCACAGCTTGGAATGCACTGTGGTTAGGGCAAAACCCTTCATGAATATTTTGCTGCTATTTCTTCACCTGATCATTACTCTAGGTTATTTCCCCATCTAAAGACTTCCAGCTTTTTAAAAGTTTATGCTTTTTAAAAGTTTAGTTGGAGGAATAATCCAGAAATTATATACATAATTGATGCAGGTTGGATTTTCTAAAGCTAACATAATTGATAAGTTAATGGTCAGGGTGATCTAGAACTGCAAAATCTTAGAAGCAAAGTCTCTTGGAGTCCTGATTTTGCCTAAACCATTAATAAACATTGGGAAATCTCTGCTTCAAGAATTGTTTTCATAACTAAGTCTCAAAAATCTTGATACTTTTCTTGCCTACAAAATTCCCAGGGGCTTTACAGAATGCTGATTCAAATAGGAAAGATTCAAAATAATTATTATTTAGCTAACAAAAATGTGAAGACGAAACTGTCTATGACCAGGAGGTGAGGCATTATTCTAGGGACACTTCTGAAAGCCTTTCTCTTTTCTTGTTTCTATCTTGCCCATTTTTTATGCATTCATGGGGTGAGTATACATTGATATATTTTTATCCTGTATGAGAATGACAAATGTTTGAGCTGATCATGTGAATTTATTAAATTTGCCATCCTGAATCCTCTCTATTCTCCATCATTTCTTGACCAGTATTGAAAATCTAGCTCAGATTTCCCTAGTCCTCCCACAATTCAAGGCAATTATGGCCATTTTCATTGGATAATTGTGGGAGTTTACATCTCTTGTCAATACACCCAGATACCACCCAAGTTATGGAGGATAGTTTTTGCCAATAGCAAGTTAGTCTTTCACCCAGAGTCTGCTCTCTGTAATGTTAATGAGAGGGCTTTTCTGTCTTAATATCTTTGTGCCATATAGCACTAGATTCTGCAAAAACTAACAAGAAAGCATCAACATAATAAGATGAATAATACTTCAATGTTTTGATTATCCATATTTATTACAAGCAGTCCCTATTAACAACATCTTGTAAGAATAAATTGTTTTTATCTTTTGACTTTGGGATAAACCTCCCTAAAAAAGGAATGTTGAGTTGCTAGTGTTCCTCTTCTAGAGTTCAGTTCTCTCCCTAGGGAAGCAAATTCTTGCCTATCTGAAAATATCTTGATTGAAATATGTATATTAAACAATGTTGAAACACCTGCTATCGCTTACATATATCAGTTGCCAAAGAATATTCAAGGAGCATGATGTATTTGTGGTTCATTCTTTGTCCCCTTTGAGGATTTTAAGGCAATGGGGTATGCTGCTATCACATTCAATCTTTTAATAATGTATAGGTCCAATGTATAGGTTCACTAGGCAAGCCTAATGAAGATGACTGAGATTCCATATTGCAACACTATTTGGGATAGTTTTTCTCCTATAACTCCTGAGGAAATAAGAGTCCTCTGCTATTTGTAGTCTAGATCCTTGCCCCTCTTTCCTGGTAGTGAAAGTTTCCAGGGAGCTGACAGAAAGTTGGTGGTGGGAAATGCATCCATCAGAGAGGAAGTGTTACCATGTGCTTAAAGGAGGCAGTGGCATCCCCCTTCCTCAAGAAACATTTCTCAACTCATTTTCTCAGAGTTTCTCAGAAAACATTCTGAGCAATTATCAGCCTATCTCCAAATTTCCCTTTTGGGGAAAGGTTGTGGAGAAAATGGTTGGGCTGGAATTGCATTGGGCCCTGGAAAAAATAGAGGATCTGACCCATTTCAGTCTGGTTTCAGGCCTAGATTCAGCATGGCACAGCATTAATTGTGTCCATTGATGATCTCTAATAGGACTGAGATGGGGATAAGGTAATCCTCCTTGTCTTGCTTGATTTCTCAATAGCTTTGGATATCATTGAACAGTCTTCTGATCCATTTCCAATAGTTGGGAGTAAAGGGCACAGTATTACAGCTGTTCACCTACTCAAAGAGATGGCTTCAGTCAGTTGCTAGTGAGAAATCAAATCTTAGATCTCTGAAGTGGGGAATTCCCCAGGGCTTGCTATTCTCCCAGTCCTTTTCAAGATCTTCCTGAATCTGCTAGGTGATGTCATCTGGCTGCCTGGAGTCAGGTTTCACCAGTATGCTGACAATGCCCAACTATATAGCTCGACTACTGGAAAATAACTGATGTCACTGACATTTGTCCAGTAATCTGGGGAGTGAACTGGTTGAGATCAATCTCAATAAGATGGAATAGCTGTGGGATAGAAGATAGGCTTCTTCCAGTGGGATTCCATGATTAACTTCAAACTGGGTTACATTTCCCTGTGCAAATTTAATTTTGGGGGTCATAGCTTCTACTTGAGCAGTTGGCAAATATAGGGCTAAAAAGCCTTTTGCTGAGCTACAGCTAGGATGTCAATTGTAACTCTTCCTGTAACCACAGACATTACTCGCTGTCATTCTTGCCTTAGTCACCTTTCATATGGAATATTGTGATATGTAGCACTGGAGCATTTGGAAATTGCAGCTGTGAAGAGTGAGGTAGTTTGGGGTAGTGATGAATCTTTTTGAAGGCACTCATGTGACACCTTTACTCCAAGAAGTCTGTGCCAGTTGGCTTCTGAGTGTAGTTCAAGACATTGGTTGTGGTTCATGGTTTGGGGATATCTTTGGATGCCCCTTTTTCCCATAACAAGGTTTCCCACACTGAAGTATACCTCCTTTGGGGAGGTGCAAGCAGAGTCCTGGGGAAGCGTGAAGAACCTTTTAGCTACATTATTAAAATACATCTACCTTTCATTGTATTGTTTTCATTGTTTACATATATATGTGTTCATTTTGGTGTTTGGATTTTTAGGGAAGGTGTGTACACTAAGATTACCCTAAAGAGAGGTGTGATGGCAAAAGGTTTAAGAAACCCTGCCTTATAATATCTGCCTATTCAATAAGACCTGGCAGGGTGGACTTCTGATGTGCCCCTTCTATTAGAGATTGTCATCTTCTGGGACCCACGGAAGTACTTTTTCAGTTGCTGCCCTTCTTCTCTGGAGTAACATATTATCTGAGATGTGTTCGGCTTCTTCTCTTCTGAATATTAGAAAAACTGATGAAAGCAAGGTTGTTCATCAATCCAGGGAAACTGGGTTGCTATAATTCCCTCTTGATTGGGAGAATAAAGTCTCCCTTGCTGTTAATATTTTTTAGTCTCAGCTTCTGGTTCCATAGGAACATCTCTAGTCACTGATTTACTTGATTCTATTTTTTTATTCCATTTATATGTTAGGAAGCTGTCTATCACATTGTCAGGAGTTGGAGCAGCCTATAAATCCTGCAGACAAACCAATAAATAAATAAATAAATAATAGGCACTGGAGTTGAGAGCAAGTCTTAGTTTAATAACAGGTAGATAATATAATCTGGTTGATAGAGGTAATTTATAGTTTTAAGTTTTAACTTAATTTTTTTTTAAATTTTCAATCTCTTGTTGGAAAGGAATAATATATTATTCACTTTGTTTATTAACAAAGTGCACTTATTTTTCAGTATCTTTTCTAAGCCAAGCAGAATGAGTCATTTGTAACTCATACTATTTCTCAAATATTACGCTGCCACACCTTAATGGAGCTTATTGTTTGAATAAAATGTACTGCTGATTAATTTTGCAGCCATGACTAAATTTTAGGATTAGTTGGTATATCTTTTACTTGAAGCCAAAACTTTAATGATTCCAATTTCAAATATTTTGGAAGTATTATGTACTTATTTGGCACTTTATTATTTATGTCATTTTACTATCATAAAAATCTCTCTTCCCCACTCCCAAAGAGAATACAGATTTTGGAACAAAGAGTGGGATTTTCATGCCACTTAGATCTAGGAAAAGGATTGGATTATCAAAATGTATCTTTAAAACTCCATGAATTCCCTGGCCTAGTAGAATGCCTTTAAATCATGTGGGAAGTTGCAGGATTAACTGTACAAGCAATTTTAATTATGCTTGTCATGTTTTAACAATGTTCATTCAGAAATCTTATTGCATCATCTATTTCAGTAGCTGTTTCAAAAGCTGAATTATACTTGCAGAGACACTTGAATTTGTAAAGCTGTTTTTCATTCTAGTATGATTTTTCTTGTTATACCTGACAAAAGCCCTAATGATAGAATTAAATCAAAGCAATAAATACAATTGGTTTTTTAATGACCATTTGGAGTTAACAAGGCTTCAGAAAGGATGGTTTATAGCCCATAAAATACTTCTGGCAATCATAAAATGTTACACACACACACACACATGTGCGGTCCAATGACTGCATTTGGGCACTTGGCAACTGGCTCACATTTACAACTGGTTGCAGTGTCCTGCAGTCACATGACTGCAATCTGTGATTTTTTTTTCCAATTTCTGGCAAAAAAAATTCATTTGAGATAATGATTTCAGACTTATGACCATGTGATAAGCTTAACGTCCACTGTAAAAATAGTCATAAGATTGGATCCAGTCATGTGGGTGCTTCAATTTGCAACTGTCCTGATTTGCGACCAAAATTTTGGTTTCAGTTGCAGTCATAAGTCAAGGACTACTACTGCAAATTGTAAATTCGTAGTCAAATATGTTCAGGGAAGAGAACGGCTATGAAATGGATAACGTGATTCCCAGAATAATGGAAATTGTATGATTTCTTCCCTGGTGATGTTGCTTGAAGAGTCTTTCAGCAGAAGTATCCAGAAAGCAGGAACAGTTGCCAGAGTTTCATTTGGTTAACTGGTTGGTGCCTAGTTGTTGCTGTGCTGGCTTAGAACCCATTTTGGCAGAATCAAAAAAAAAAATCCCCCATCCTTTGGGCAAGTGAGAACAGGCTGAAGATGGTAAACCCAAAACCGAAAGTGATGCTCTTAAACTGTTCATCATTCCTGGGATAGTGAGCTAAGCTTTTTTCCTCATTGATTTCCTGCTTGCCTTTTCCTGAGTTGCTCTGTGACATTGCTAGTGATTGTTTGGGGTCTGATAGAGGAGCAGTCAATGTGCCTTTTTGACCATTCCTTGATTTATCTCTCCTAAACACCTATATTTCACTTTTCCTGCAACTCCCTAAACAAATTCTAGGTTTGTGCAAGGAATTCCATTCTCTAACTTTGTTATGCTGTCACTAGTGTTTACGTTTGCCTTAGATATCTTGGCTTCCTTGGAGCATTCTTTGAATTCATATAGCTAAAACAGAGTAAGATTAACGGACATTTACCTTGTATTTTTTCATTACAGATTGATAGTCAGATGGAAACTTCCTGCCTGCGATCTTTTGAATACGTGGATGAAAGGGAACTGGTAAGTTGCAGGAGTCTAGTACTGTATTCAATTTGTCACATTGCCAATTAGAGTTTATATAAGAGCTTCTAATGTCAGACTTTGGAGCAGTGGATTTCAATGTATTTTTTAAGATTTATTTGTTTCACTATGAAGAATTGTGAGTATAGTGCTGACTTTTGCTTTAGTTTTGGGCTTCTGCATATCTTTTCTCTTCCTCTAGTTTGGTCACTACTACCCAGCAGCCAATATCTTCTGGGTAGTCCTGAGTCTTGTAAGATGTTAGAGAGGTCATTAACATCTAGTTTTTCATCTGGTCCATGGTGAGCTCTCAAATAAAATACCCCAAGAGGAGTTTATGAGCCTTTGATACTGTTGTTCGTTTGATTGTCTTACCTCTTTGGACCATTTATAATTGAAGAAGAGCAAGCAAGAAGAGGCTATTGATCATCTTCAAGGCTATTTTTACCCCTTGTCCCTTTTTTGGAAAGGACAGGTGGTAACAACAAGAAAAAATAGTACTTAATCTGAAGAATGCTAACTTTTTCATGCCAAAACTGAATATTTTCATTGCTGACATCTGTATTTATTATCTTCTAGGGTAATACTGAATGCTTTCTCAAAGCAGCCTATAATCCCCTGAAATATATCATTGATAACATTAACTTCACGAGTAATACTCCAAACTATCTGAAACTCCATCTGATAAAGGACTTATACCTGGACCTTGCAAGATGCATTAAGCCTCCCAATGATAAGAATAAGGTAAATTTTATTGATCAGTTTTGCAATCCTCAGAAACAATGCTAATACATTTAATGAGACTGAGAAGTTGATTGACAATTGTCACCTAAATATTAGAGAGGAGGATGCTGAGGAGGGAATTGAAAAAAATGCTTTAGTGTGTCTTGCCTTGACTGTGCCTACTTTTAAAGAAACCAAATATAACCTTAAAGAAGCCAGATATAACCTTAATCACATTTTTAGGCTTCCCATACAGATACATAATTTTAAAGTACCTAAGACAGGGCAGAAAGGGAATTAGTTTGGGGCCTTTGAAGCAATGGATAGGTTTCAGCCAGCTGCTTCTTCCTCCAAACGCTTGCTATCTGCACTGGGAAGGAAATGCTTCCAGTTTAACAGCTATAGCTGTATCTTTGGTTGAAATCCTTCTTACGCTGGCCTATGGACAAAATAAGCAAAATATGCCTGATATCATTTAGGACCAATCAAAATGACCCAAAAAGGCATGCAATCATCTAAATTCTCCAGAACTTTTCATCAATTTAAATGGTCCCCAAATATGAAAAAAAGAAGTATTAGGAAAATCCCCCAAATAACCAATGGGATTTACAGAGTCAGTCTGAAAAACAGAGTTTGTGGATTGGATGTTTAATATGTTGGTATTTGATTACGCTTAAGCTTTAGGGACTGAAGCTACCTAGGGGACTGAGGAAGTATTTGCTCTATCCCATATCAAATTTTATTGATACGTAGGATATTCCTTGTAGGATCTTCAGTATAGAGTTGAGAATAGGCCTTGCTTATAGAAGTAGAGAAACTAGTGGTGATTGGCTGGTGATAATTTCTTATGCTGTCATAGATAAAATATCAGCTAATTTTATTTCTTTTCCCCTCATATTTTTTTGTTTACTCTGAAAGAAGTGCATCAAGACTTTCTCCCTGACTGCACAGCAGACTTTACAACTGGTGCACAAATATTTTAGCCAAGCCAAGCAGTTTCTGAGCAAGAATACATTCACAGATGATTGCAGTGGGGTCTTCCAGAAGTGTTCGGAATCACAGGAAAAGGAGATTGTTTCTCCAGGTAAACAACTCAAGGCTTTTCAGATGTGCATTTCCTGCCAATAGTTTGGCACAGAGTAGGGAAGGGATGATTTTAAATTGGGTGAAGCATTTTGTGGCTTTTATATATGTGCATTTATGTTTGTGTAGCAGGCTTCTCTGTGCATTTATACTTGCAAGTGTTGTCTATTGTCTGCTGGAATGTAAGTCTTAGAAGTCAACAGGTATCTCATTCGAATGGAAATGCAGTGGGCCTCCTTAGTTTGAAGTAAAGACAACATTGAATCTGTTTAAGTCTGATCTAGCTGCAGAATCCTGACTCTTATGTGCATATATAAGAGCCGTGATGGCACAGTGGTTAGAATGCAGTATTGCAGGCTAACTCATGCTCTCTCCAGGAGTTTGATTCTGACCGGTTCATGGTTGACTCAGCCGTCCATCCTTCAGAGGTCTGTAAAATGAGAACCCAAATTGTTTGGGGGCAATACACTGACTCTGTAAACTGCTTAAAGAGGGCTGTAAAGCACTATGAAGCGGTATATACAAATCTAAGTGCTATTGCTATTGCTATACAGCAGGATGGTGTGGATTTTAACAAAATGTCAGTTGAAGTTCTTCCCTTCCCCATTACCCATTGTTCTGTGTTAATTAACTTTAATATTTCTGTATTTTCTTTGCTTTCTATTATGTATTTGGCTTCTGTTAGCGTTGAGAGAAACTTCAAGCAGTATTTATAAAGACTGCCTAAAAGCATACCACGGATAATTACTTTTGTTCTAAGTATCTTCACAATCAACTTTGATTTTCAAAACTGCAGCTTTTCTGCTTAAAGATACAAGAATCCTAGAATGGTGCCTGACCACCAGAAATGGGATATTTTATTATGATGACAGAGAATTTCAGATATATTCCTGAGATGGACCTCAAATAGATGGAAAGGCTAAGCTACAAAGATGGGAATAAGTTGAGAAGATATTGCATTCATATCTAACGTGTGTGTGTGTGTGTGTGTGTGTGTGTGTGTGTGTACATACACCCTTCTATTTTTTAAATTCAGCTTGGAAGGTCCATATAAAATGCTTGAATTCCTAGTGGTCCTAGCATTATTCAGACATAATTGAATGGAATCTTTATGGCTGGGCTTTTGTATACTTCTCAAATCTGCTTCCAAATAAATCTCATTTTTAGTTTTATCATTCTGAGATCCAATGGCATAATGAAGCCTTCAGTCTTTCTGAATGATTGCCAAGGAGAATGCAGTCACTGTCTGACCTGAAAATCTGTCTTGAGTTCATTTGTGTTTTGTGGCAGTTCATGTTGTATGTCTGTGCATGCAGCACCTCTAGTGACATATAGTTTACTTGTAGCCATAATTATCCACATCACCATTCCTTTGTAGAAATTGTTATTCCCTTTGCTTTGATTTTCTAGACAATTGAATCCTGGTCTAGTGCTTGCTCTCAATTATATATGATTTCTCCATAAATTTTAGTTGCATGACCTTTTTTTTGGTGTTGCTACCCCAAGCTAATCTTTACACTGTTTCCTCCATCCATCCATTCATTCATTAATCTTTCATCCTCAAAGTTCTTTCTGGATCGTTCTGCTGGTTGCCTTGCTTTGTTTCAGTTTTAACCTGCAGTTTCTTCTGTTGCTTTTGGCCATGATTTGAAAAAAAGGCTGAAATCTGGTGTTGGCATGGTAGCTTAAAGAAAGTGTCTTATTTGAGCTTAATGCAATCCTTTGGTTCTCCTTACATCTTAAGAAGCTGGTTACTCTATGGCCATTCTCTCTATCTGGATCTTTTCAGGTGTTGTTACTGCCCTGGATTGCAACTGTTCATCTACAGGCCTGATCAGTATAGAAGGCTCGACATATCTCGTTCCAACTTCTGAGTCTTTCTCTTCCATTGCAGACCAGCTGGACAGCAGGAAGACAGCTGTCAGCATTCTCCAGCTACTAAGGCTTCCTGATACTACTCAAATTCTTAGTGGGTTTGAAAGCAATACCAGATATAGGGTGTCTAGAAGCACTGATAAAAGCCAAGAAATCACTGAAAACATGGATTTCAGGGCTGGCATTGATGTCATATTACCATCACCATCATCACCTTCTCTTTCTATCCAGAAACATTTGGAATCCATGGAGACCAGATCTCCCTCCCTGGATTCCAGAACTGGTGAAAGCCAGAAAAGATCTGATGAAATAGCTTCTCAGCATCTCCCTCTCTCTGACTTAGCCAAGTCATTTCTCAATCAGCAATGGTTTGAGATAAAAGAAAAAACTGAGGCCACTCCAGGACTCTCATCTGATCAGGATATCACTGTTGCCAGCAGTGCTTTCGGCTTAACTCTGACATCATCTTTCAATTTGGAACAAATAGACAGCTCTAGTGTGCCCCCCAGTGGCAGTCCCCATGTCCTGGGCCACAAAGATCCTGTCTCTGCAACACAAGATCCTTCTAACTTTGTGGTCACCACAGAGAATTCCTTACCCCCCAAACAAATACTCCTGGGGAAAGCAAAGCAAAGTAGCAGAGATAGTACCTCCAAAGCACTGCAAAACACCCAGCTGCGAAAGAGACGAGAAGAGGATCTGGCCAAGGACAGGGAATTGGAGGATAGCCTGCTGGGACCCAGCTTTGATCTGAACTTCATTCCTCCGAACGCAGAGAAGCACACCAAGAAGTCAGAGCCCAGAAATATCCAAGGGACGTCTGTGACATATGTGGTGATACCCAGTGTCTTGGGAATCCTGCTAGCCCTGGGTGGCCTGCTGTTCTACTTGCATAAGTCCAGGGTAAGGTTAAGTCCTGCCTTAACAAATGTACATCTGCATTCCTTTCCTCTTTCTCTTGGTGGCAAATTTGAGGCACAGAGTTTCCTAAAGATGGTAACATAGAACTGTCATTTAGAAAGAAGTGTAGCTTCTTGGCAAAATACATGCTTTGCAGGTTCAATCCTTGCCATCTCAAGATAAGTCTGGAAAACCAATAGTGCTAGGTATGAGCAACAGTCTTAGATGCAAAATAGTTCTTGTGTCCCTCAGCAAAAACACTTTCCTTGCTTTTCCATTAAGTATTTCCTGCAACGCATCTTACTTTTTTTTTCTGTTGTAAAATACCTTCCTTCTCCTTTTGTTTTCATTGAGATGCAAAAAATAATAATAATTATAGCTAGGTTTGTGGGGTACGTCTTATCTCATGCATGCCTTGCAGTGGTAACTCTGTCGTGGGCCACCTTCAATCCTAGAGCATCCTACACCACAAGATGCAAGCATTGCTTAAGGCAGACTATTCCCCATGCTGACCAGCATCACAACTCAACTTCTTAAAACTCCTTGGCTGTAAAAGTATGGTGTTTAGAACTGATGCCGCTGATGAGTGGGAAGCGCATCCTGTGATTCATCTTTTGATTCTTAGAATTGCGGATAGGGTTGGAAATTGTTAATAAGTAACTTGAAAGTCTTACAGAATTGAAGAAAAATGATAAATACAATAAATATTCCTCCAGATTGAACAAGAGAAGATATAGTTGCATGTTAGAGACAATGTTGACCTGCACTGGTATTAAACGAGTTGCATGTGTCATTACTTCATACATTATTTAGAAGAACTGTTTCATAGGAAGAGTAAGCAAGTTATCTATTGATTTGTTGCGCTTGCACAGTCTGTCTTCCAAGGCTGAAATCTGTTTCTGCTTATTTCACAAACAGTTTGCATAATTAAATCAAAAAAAGGGACATATTCAAGGACTGGCTTTGATTATGCAGGAGCAGCCATAGCTACTTTTTTCTTAACACTATAATTTATCACTGTACATAAAGAGAGGGAGTCATATTGAAAAACCTGGAAGTAGTGATGGTAGAATCTAATGTTGGCCTTGACATGTCGCCTGAAAGGCACTCTTTACCTTTCAATGGCATGCCAACAAACTACACTCTGAAAGTGTGCCGAGCAAAATTAAACTTGATTTAAAAGTTGGTATATGCCCAGTAGTATGGATGACTTCCATATGCAAAGACAACTGTTATCTTTGTTGGTAGCACTCAAACCACAGTAGAAGTGTTTTCTTGGAGTAGTTTTCAGTTTTCCATTTCCTCTTGGGATAGCCACAGCTTTTAGTTGGAAGTCCAGTGCCAATTATACCAGCAGCAATTCAATCTGCTCATGGTTCATTCAAATCAGGATTCTCTATTCCACTACCCAATTCTTATTTTCTTTCATACAGATCCTAAGAAAGAGGCAGACACAGCAGATGGGGAATAATGTAGAAAGAACAGAAGAACAAAGGTAAGAAATTAGAAGATCATGAAGCCTGCCTGTATAACTAGATTTTCTAATCTGTTAGCCTCTTTCTATTTTAGATCAGTCATTCCTGACATATAGATCCTCTATTTCTCGCTATGTATTTCAGATTCTTATGTTTAACTCACTGAATTGCCCCTCAGGAAGACAAAGGTCTTAAATGTACTCCTGTGGGATAGAATCTGTTGGGCCACTGTGTGAATGTACCAGCTGATGACTTCCAAATGCATTGGGCTACAAATTGAAAGCCACCAGGTCATAGAAAGTTGTACAAAATATTGACTAGTAAATCATCACAGTTCTTCCTCTTTGTCTTGAAGTTAAGATTCCTGCTCTTTTTTTGTAGATCATTGAGTGGAGGGGAGGGACACTTGGAGTTGCAGATTCAAAGGGAAGTATGAGGTAGGTTATCGTTTTAATTTTTTGGGAGGAGTTATTATGTTGCCTGTCTTACAATAGTTACACCATACATTTGCATAAACTTGGTGAGCAGTTTTGAATATAGTTTGCTATGAATACTAAATGCTAGGGCCAGAAAGGAGAATATTACTGTCTTGTCAAGAATTTTAGAATTTTAGATATATTTTGGAAACAAGATGCTGAATTAGTTGAGCCTTAGCAGATGCCCAAGAATTAACTGGATGCCGATGGGCACATGCAACCTGCTACCTCCTTTCTACGTAGATACAGGTTTCCTGTAAATTATAAGTAGGTGCTATGGAATGTAGCTATGTCCTTAGGGGTAGCAGCAGCAGGTAGACATCAACTTACAATCCATTCCTAGTCTGAAAAAAAAACCTGCATTCTTATGGGACTGCATTTTCTGAGATCAAAGGTCATGCATGAGAACTGAAGTTGGATCTTTGCATATGTCTTAGCAAAAGTTACTAAGTGATTTGTAATAAAATAATGGCCTGTATTTTACCTCTTAAACTGATTGACACTTTTGAATTAAACAGTGATGGCTCTTCATATCTTCTTATTTCCAGTTGCACCATTCCCTCTGAAATGAGAAACTGCCTGGGGTTTTGGACTGAAAGCCCCACTTTCAAAGTACAGTTCTGTTGCTATTATTGGGAGAAATTGCACAAAGGAAACTCTGGAACTAAAGCCACAGCAGTACTTTTCCATGAAGATTGTTTTTATACTTTTTTTTAATGGGAAGGAATTTATCAGGAAATGGACGCTATTTATTTCTGGTAGCCAAGATTGGTATTCATTATACAAGTTGCCTTTTTTCTACCATTCAGCCAACAAACTGGAACTTGGTCTGCAAAATCCCTTGTATGATGGAGATGGTCTAAGAACTACTGTGCCTATTCCATTCTGAAGGGGAACAGATGGTATCGTTTTCAGATCTATTAAATATGGATTCTGCAGTTTGAACAGCCATGCTAAACATGAATGAAAATTATCTGCTTCTTTTAGAGCTTCTAGCCTCTTCTGGCTGAAGACTTCAGGACCTCAGCCTCATGCCAGCTATTAATTTTTTAGGCACTTTGTTCATCTCTTAAGCTTTGTAGGTTGTAAAGTACAGTTCTGTGCGTAACCCCATCCAGTTAGCACTCTATATAATCTAACACACTGTTCAGAGAAAGTTGCTATCTACTTTTCCAGGAGCTTACGGTTTTATTCCCAGAATCCATTTTTAATTCTATCATACAAAATGAGAGATGTTTTTAGCCTTAAATTTTAACTTACTAATAAAATAGATTTTACTTAGTTTTTAGGACAAGCCAAAAAATAAGTACCTTTCCATACTACACAAGATAATGTGCTGGGTACCAGCTAGCATGGTTTTAAAACAGAGCTGTGGTTTTTCCTTTATATATTAATCTGTTTTAATCAGTGATAAATGGAGGCTCCCTATTCAGAGGCAAGTGTGCTTCTGAATGCCAATTGCTGGATAGGTAATAAAGAATATGAAGGAGCATTGGCTTGTGGGGTCTCCTAAGAGTCTTCCAGTTAGCAGCTATTGAATGAAGCAACTGGCCTTTTCTAAGTAGAATTTAGCCATGGAAATTTATCTTTTTGAGCCTTGTATTTTATCACTGGTACAAGTCACCAACTGATGTACTCATGGAACAGGACTCAAGTTGTATTGAGAATTAGCCTTGTTTCGTTTGCTTCCCTTGCCATTATAGGAAATATTACGGAGGCACTGTTAACTGGGACACTGGTAAGAGATGCCCAGAAACCACTTTTCCCCTGAAATGTTTTCAGGTGCAAGTGGAACTAATGTAGCTGTGCTGAATTGCTGTTTAGATTTTCTGTCTTCTTGACCTCATCATCACCACCACAAAGAAATTCTGCAGCAAAACAAACATGCCGGCCTGTAAAAGTCCAAGAATGGGCATGCTCCCACAAGTCCTGTGCCTTTGGGGCATCTGTCTTTGTTTTTTTCCATCAGGTCAAGGTGTCCCTCAAAATACTTTCCAACTTACTTTTTACTTTAGTAGATCTGTGTTCCCATAATATTTTGCCCAACAGATGTAAAGTAAGAGTGTGCTTGCATGGAAGGCATGGAGTAAGATTGGGGGTCTTTAACACCTTCTTTTGCTTGCTGATTCTTTCCTGCAAGTAGGTTGCCTGGCTATATCCTTCAATATTAGAACTTGGCTGCAGAAACAAACTCAAATTCTTCTTTGTAAATGTATCCTTAGTCTTTAAAGGAGGCAGCATGGTTTCTTTTATTGTTTGTACCTGCAAAGTCTAGACATTTTCTTTAGTAGAGCAACAAAATCATGAGGTTAAGAGCTCTGTGTCTGTCTTGAAATAAGTACCTCTGCCTCTTAAGCTTTAGACTCAGGATCTTATAGATAAGGATTTGTCCAGGATGTAAACCCCCTCATTCTTTTTTCCATGTTGTAGTGGAGAGTTGAGCTATAAACAAGCGAATGGGAGCTGCATATTTACAGCCATATTTTGAAGTGAAGCAAAGCGAAATGTTGCACTTTCTATGCTTAAGATGTTTTTTTTGTTTGTTTGTTTTTGAGAACATTCCAGTTCTTCATTCTGGCCTTGTGCTTCATTTCAACCCAAGTGCTTTCCCTTTTTTTTCTCTCTCTCTAGCTGACATTTTGCCCTTCCCTATTTCAGCAAGGCAGGTGATGGTTCTGAGCTGGTCTCTGGGAATGCTGCTGCCAGTTGCTGCTTGAAAGTTAATGAACCAGATCAACATTGATAGACTTTGGGTTTTTTTTTAGAGGAGGATATGGATGTAACAAATCAGGCTCTGTGAGGAATGATTGCTAAACAATGCATTGTTAGTTGCTTTATTGATGTGAGCAGGCCTCAGTTTCAATAGTGTCCAGTGTGCTGGTGAATGATATTTTGCAATATATGTGGGTGTAAATTCTGAGCCATGGGAGGGGAAATGTTATTCAGTTTGAGGTATTGGCCTAGCTCAGGGGTAGGCAACCTTGGCTCTTTTATGACTTGTGGACTTCAACTCCCAGAATTCCTGAGCCAGCCATTCTGGGAGTTGAAGTCCATGAGTCATAAAAGAGCTAAGGTTGCCTACCCCTGGCCTACCTAATCAAATATAGGTCTAGCTAATCCAATAATTTTTACCCTATGCTAGGATTTGTCTGATTCATGAAGCTGTTGGAAGAAGGGGGCTTGATGAAATATCATTTGATTGCTGTATTTTTTTTAAAAAAAATCCAGACCAGTTTTAACTGCTTAAACTCATAAAGAATTACATTGCAAACACTGGCAAGCTCCTTTTTAAATTTTAATTGCAAGTAGGACTTAACAGAAGTTTTGAGGTTTAAGCATTAGCAGGGGCTTTGTATATAAGTCATTGAGCCATAGCTCAGGAATAGCTCTGGCTTGATTCCAAGAAAGATCCAGCCCCCCCCCCCCTTTGGGCCAGGTTTATCATTGAGTTTGGATGGAGCAGTTGAATTGCTCCATCTTAAGCACTTGCGTGCTGGCACAGTATATGTTTAGTATTAAAGTCAGATCCTAAGAACCACATGTCCATGTCTTTTTTAAAGTTGCTTTTTTAAGAGAGTTGCAATTCTGGTTCAAACTGTGTTCTTTTTAATAAATAAATATATATATATGTATATTACAAACAAATATTTTATATAATTTTTTAATGTCAAATGTTTATTTAAAATAGAAAATGATGTATTTAATAAACACTTTTAAAAGCTTTCTATGCTTTTTGCTTAAATCTGAATGATGATTGAGATGTACCTAGGACTATATTTATCCAAATTATGTCTGCTAGGGATTTGGGGATGACTTACAGGTAATTCGTAACCATTTAGAATAGAGATTTCTAGTGGGCAGAAATGTAGACGGCTCAGTTTTAAACAAAAAAATTGACTAGTCCACCTAATTATAAATATGGCAGTGTCCTCATAGCTGGATGTCCAATTTAGATATCCAGAGCCCATTGGTCCTAAGGATAGGAACAGTGAAGTTTTTGGTGCTCTGAGCTTGGTTGAACTAAGTTTATTATGTAATTGGGTAGTCAAATGTCTTCGAGCAAACAACCAAGCTCAGAGGACACCAGAAACTCTAAGCTGTATTGAGCTACAGTATTCTCTTCTATTGGATTGAACTTGGGATTAATCAGACAAAATATAGCACACAGAGTGAATCATTGTGTATCTTTTATTCTTAATAATAAAAGGAAATAAAACAGAGAAAGCTGGTGATCTAATTCCTCTTCAATGCTCTTGAATCATCCTGGAACCAGCGCCTTTTCTACCTTCTACAGTCCAAGATCACTTAATTCCACCTTTGCTTGCTAGCCATTTTTAATTTTTTTCTTCAATTCGGCTCCCACTTGCCAGCTTCTTAGGCCATTTCATCTCTTCCCCCTCTGTGAAAAATGTTTTTTGTACAAATTCTTTATTCTTTTTCCGGATTCAGATATCAGCCACAAACACAGATTGCCATGTGACAAGAGTGCAGATGGTGTTTATCTCCTTCGTTCTGTCACATGGACTCTTGAGATTAATTCTGCAACTATAGGCTGGATCCCTGACTTTCCGATTTGGTAAAATGTTGGTCAGGGTTTTATCAACTTACTTGATAAGACTGACAGATTCTACAGTTTGTGTGTCTGCCATTTTTTAAAAATTTAATCAATTGCTCAGAAAAAGCTGCAACAGGAAAGAGATACTGTCTCAGCTTTGTACATATTTGGGGAGAAATGTCAGCATACTTAAGATGATAATTTTTGCTTAAGATACTAGATCGTTCTACTGATAGATGGAATTTATATACAGTACTATTTGGTACAGCAGCTCAGAGGATATTACATTTTTTAGACCCTAGGAGACTAGCATATACAAGTGGGACATTTAATATTGAGAAATACTATAAGGAAGGTATGGTCCTCTAAATGTTGCTTATTACAAATATTAGCAACTGTTTTAGCTAGGAATCTTGGGAACTGTATTTTGACAGCACTAAAAGATGCAAGGCTGCTTCTACCATAAAAATAAATCTATAGTAAAATGCAACCTAAACACGTGAAGCAGAAGAAGTCAATTTGATGCAGGTAACAAGTTTATTACGCTAAGAGACCTTTGGGGATTTGGGCAGAATCAGAACAACATTTCTGTGCATAAAGTAACTACTTAGATTTAGTTTTTGAAAAGCCTCAAAATTATGGAAATGTCAGAATATTCTAAATATTTCTTTTTAAAAAATCAAACAGATAAAAGGGTTTTCTCAGGTAGAAGCTCTGCACAAACGAAACGAGGTGGGTGCACACAATCAAATAAGTGGGATGGGAAAAGTCTTTTGGTGTTTCTCTTTTCACTGGTAAGCATCAGCAATTCCACATGTTTTGCAGTGTATAGAAATGATTCTAACAACTCAGTCATAGAGGTTGCAAAGATGAGATGTGGAAGAGAAAAAAATTGATAATGTTCAGTTGATGGTGCTTGGCCATTTCTCTAGCACCGACATACAACATCTTTATAATATCAACTATCACTTCAATGCTACAAAACCTTTGTTACTTTTCTTTTGGCACTGTTATAGCTGGATGATTCTACAAGATGGTCCAAGTTGCTAGAGGCAAATGACCTCAGGGAATTTGAAAGAAATGTGTGATTTTTATTTTTCTCTTCATTTCTCTCTTATACACATATATACACTAAAGCCGTGCTATGCCTCAGATTCAAAGGGCAAAGATGCTTTGAAACATGCAGGAGCCCTCATGAGATTACTTGTTGGAAACTCCTTAAATCACAGTACTTTTTTCCTGGAATTTTGTTCTTACCCTTTGGAGTTGCAATATGTTCCCGAGAAAAGATATGTTGGTTTATTTGATCACTACTTTGGTGACATCTCACTTTTATCTGATCATTACCTTGGTGGTATCTCTCCCCCCCCTCCACCCAAGGTAATTCCCACATACCATTAAAAAGAGATAACAAAGAAAGCCTACCTTATTCAACCTGTTTTACAGCTACTTTGGCAATAACAGCATATTGTTGCTGCACTTCCAAGAACAAAGCTGCATGTGTCCCCAAGAAAACTAGTTGTGTGGCTTTCTGACTTTCTGAGGCACAAAACATACAAAACCTGTAAGGATACCATCTTAAAATAGTCTTAGTTTAAGGAAATGAACAAAGTCCACCAAACATTGCTACTTGGAAACAGAAAAGAAACCAAAATATGGCCCCACTTATTTGCAATAGTGGCCCTACTCACTTTAGACCCAACATCAAAAAGTTGAATGCCCTATCGTAACAGGAATTCTCTGTTTGAGATGCCAACCAATCAATAAATCAGTCTGTATTCCATAATATTGTGCTCCCTCTTATTTCTCTCTTCAGCACTAATTTTAATATATTCATTTTCCAGTTTATCTTTTTTTTAAAAAAAAAAATCTGCAAATCCCTCCAAGTATACCCTTTTCTTGCTCTGTCAGTAGCAAATACCAAACAATTTGTAACTTGCTACTGGAAACACTGTGGGAATTATTTATTGCAAAACAATTATTACAATTTACTATCGTAACTTGCCCCATTCAAAAACTCCAAACTCTAACAAATAACATAATAACCAAAATAAAATTTCAAATAACTAAAATGAAATCTATTTTTAAAAAGGTAAAGATAAAAATACCACTTAACCAAATGAAAAGTTAAAAACCTTTTCCAAATGTCTACTGGAAAAGGAGAGTTTTCCTTACTTTCCTGAAAGTTCTTGTGATGTTGCCTGTTTTAGAAGTGGTAGTCATTTCTATGTCTTATCTGCATTTTAAAAAAAAGCAGATAAACAAATAATAATAAAGTTGGAAGGGACCTTGGAGGTCATCTAGTCCAAGCCCCTGCTCAGGCAGGAAACCCTATACCATCTCGGACAAATGGCTGTCCAGTCTCTTCTTTAAAACTTCCAGTGTTGGAGCATTCACCGCTTCTGGAGGCAGGTTGTTCCACTGGTTAATTGTTCTAACTGTCAGGAAGTTTCTCCTTAGTTCTAGGTTGCTTCTCTCCTTGATTATTAAATTATTAAATGCAGAATTCCATCTACTAAACTTCAATATGTCAAAACTCTGCAATGTTATGTCCATCACACTAGCTGAGGTAGTGCTATTGTTTAATACAGTCATTAAAAATAGAAAGACTTCCAAACCTAGAATATATGTGCTTCATTGTATTCATTTCTAAGAGCTATAATTTATATAAAAGAGAAATATATTTTCAGGTAATACCTTAAAAAGATCTTGTTTCGGTTAGGTTAATAGAAGTTATAGTAGAAGAGAGTTTAAAAAGAAAACAAGACCTGTAGATCAGGTTACTCCAGATAAATGCCAGGAACTCAGAACTGCTGATGATCTTTGGGAAATTAGCATTGTTGCATTCGCTAATATCCTGAAGCACAACACCTTGTAGAGCTGGGTGATAAGACCCATTCCAAATTTGGTGAACACTACAAGTGTTTTAGACTTCAGAAGCAGTTCCAGAACAAATGCTACCCAAGAAGAAATGAAAAATGGTGGTTAGGCTCAATTACTGTAACTCCATATAATAAGAAATCAATGTATAGGGCAATTAATCTCAATTCTTTCTGCAATGAAGTATGATACAAAGGTTATCTGTTTGACCTTTTTAATAGCCATTTCTTACTGTACAAAGTCAGATAATAGATAAGGTTGTTAAGAAAAGCACATATGAATTGCAAATATATTTGTTATCATGACACAAGAGAGTTTAAGCAATGCTCAGCTTGGTGCCAGGAGTTAGATGATTGAAATTCTCCCAAAACATCTCTGCCACCAAGAGCCAGTCCTCAATCATCTTTAAAAGCCCATTTTTTTCTGCAAGGGAAATGCAAGCATGTCAGCAATTCTGGAACTGTAGTAATTCCCCATTCCCAGCCCTAAGCGTGGTTGCATGTTACTGATGGTTAGGAGAGGCAACAGTTCTCTTCCAGAGACGTATCAGCATCCGAATGTTGAACCGCTAATGGGTAAATGACAATTAAAAGACAAGAATAGCTGGACTGCATTTGGGAGCAAGTTGCAGAAATATAGCTACAGATGGGAAAATTGAACAACAAATGCCACAAGAAGTTTTCTCTCTTTTCCTCCCTTACTCCCTTCCTCTTGCTCATATCTATTTAGTATTATTTCTTCTTCTTTCTTTCCTTCTCATCTAAATGCCTGAGTCCAATTCTATCCTGTTCTTTTCATTTGTTTGTTTTTTCTATTTTGCTGTTTCTGATGGAAGGGCAGAAGTCAATGTTTTCCAGGGTGTGTGTATTGACAAATTCCTATGTGCAAGATGGCTTAGCAGGTGTGTGAGAGAATGGCTGATAAATTCAAGTAGGAGATCAATTTATTTTATAATGGAATGTTACTTTTATGGACAATTGGATTAGTATGTTGGGCATGTCCTTGAGAGACAGTAGGAAGAGCCACAAAGCAAGCAACAGTCAGGTAAAAGGCAGCTGAGTCTGCTGAAGGAATGGGGGCATGACAAATATCTTGGAAAGGACCCTCCCTAGTTTCTGTGGCTGTAAAGGTGAGGGAGGAGAGACATGTACTTTCAGATGTGCAAGATTCTGCCAATGTAACCTTACAATAAAGATAGAACTAGTACTTCCAGATATTCCTCTTGTCTGGATTATTGCACAAGTCTGCAGCAATTCATTTTAATCAGATGTTATATATCCAATACAGC